ATTAATGTTCCACTCGTTCAGCATATCCTCGGATATGACAACAACAAAAGCGCTTCCCATGCAAATAATTCTCAACCATGGAGACTAAACAAATAAAAAAAAAAATGTGTGACACAAAATTATTGCATATGTCCACTGAAGAAAACTATGAATGTAATACAGCGTTTGCAATCCAACTCAACTGACAGGAAGCAACACCAGCAGGTCATGCAACACAACAGAAACCATGCTAATAGGAAAAACTGAATCCCTGTGTCAAAGTATGCACAACAATCTCACTGGGTTTAACACACTGAGTGTGTCCAGAACTCTGAGCTGCAGTTGAAAACAACATGAAACAGTGCTGTCTGGAGGATTTCTGCATACATTGACATTCATCCACCGGAGACTGTTATGAGCCCATTAGGTTCAAAGCCTGGCAGCTGCTTAAGAACCCAGTACCTGATTCGTTGTTCAGGTGACTGAGTAGAACGTAGGGAACTGTAAGCCATTAAAGAAATAAAGAAAGAAAGAGGGAGAGAGAGACAGAGAGAAAAGTTGAAAAGAAGGCTCCCATGCTGCTTTACCTCACCTGCTGCAGCCTAGTGGTTGCTGAGGAAAAAGAGCTGTATGTGATCAACAACAGGTAAGAAATCGTGGCCTATGTGCAAACTACAATCTTTATTTCCTGCATTCTTTGGCTGTTTCCCTTTTACATTTCACACTGTGGCAGTGTGTTAATGAGGGAAAAGCAGCTTTCAGATACACGCTGAGGTGTTAAGAAATATTTTCCACACCTTCTCTGCTTGAAAATATAATCTCTTCTAATCCTGCAGTGGCATTTACTCAACGGGGGACTCGGTGGCCTTTAAAGCAACACTCGAGCACTGAAATTCTGGCTACGCCCAAGGGTGCCTCCCACGGCGAAGGGTTTGGGAACAGGAGAGAGTAAAAGAAAATACACACACACACACACACACACACACACACACACACACAGACAGGTGTCATCTGTGTGGCCATAACAACCTACAGTCACGACTTCATCCATCCACCAATTGGAGTCTTGTTGACGCACTATAAGTCAGTATGGTCTGACAGAAATCTGTTTCGTCTTTGTAGATGAATGACTCTAAAAACCCAGAGGCCTGTTTAAGTATGCACTGTGAGTCTCTCCACAAAGAGAATGCATCATTAAACAGTTCTGGATAGGAAAGAAAAGCACACCAGGCAAAAAACAAAAACACAAAAACAAACATCTTTGTCATCCACTTCAAGCTGAACAGGAAGTCATTTGCTGTTCAGCATATCTTGAATGCCACTGTCATTTCAGTCATGCTAGAAGCTCTCACACCTCACCTACTGAGGGTTGTAGGTGCTACACCCTGCATGAGCGGAGAGAAAATGGCGTTAGCATCCACCTAACCACACAGGGGCTGCCTTTCCGTGACCGGGCTGACAAAAAACTGCCTTTTCATGCGTTGCTGGCCACAGTCCAAACCCCCGCAGTAGGGCTGTTTAGCAACAGGCCATAGAAGACTGCAGTGAAAACAGCCCTCGTTTTAGTAGCTTTTACCATTGCACACACGTCAACAGGAAATTCAGACAATCCTTGACCACAAACACGTCAGCCCAAAGAGGAGTTAGTCTGTAAACAACCTGCGGACATTGAGTTACCTAGTCTGAACCAACTACATTATAAGTTTTCACTTTGAAACTGCATTAAATGAAAGACACAGGAGCATTTTTACTCACTGTAGCCCATGCCCTGAACAAAGTACTTGAAGGCCTCGGCAAGTTTCCCTGGCTGTGAAAAAAATAAAGGATAAGCATTAGTAGGTAGTTTAGACTGGAAAACCTCTAGATGACACGTTTGTGTCTCTAAAAAGAAAAACTCACCTGCACGACCTGGGGCAGACCTCCACAATCGGCCATCTGAGAGGACAATATCAGTCCCATTAATAAATGTTTTATATGGTCAAAAAGTGACTATCATATAATTTACTGCAGATCTTCACCTTCAGCAGTGTGCTCTTTGTTGGATTTAACCTAGAATTGCACTCCACCTGAAACATCACCGAGAGGTTATTGCTGAGCTTTAAAAGCAGAAATAATAGCAGCTGCTTTTTGCAGTAACAAATTCTTCTCATCATCTTAAGTTACTAGGACGCACTGAGGTGAACTTACCACAGCCTCCACAGCAGGTGATGTGTCACCAACCACGAGCAAAGCAGGGCACCTGGATGGGAACAGATCAGGTTTAAAAACTGTCAAGTCACACCGTGTACTCAGTGACTAATATGTGCCATCCTAATCTCAGAACCTACGTTAGTGTGTTGACTGTGTCCTCATTCAGGCCTACGACAGGCCGCTCGATCTCCAGGTCCCGACGGCTGGTGCACGGAGACATTATGATTAGTTACTGAAGCTGAAACAATTTGATCTAGCTACATCAACACAGTTTTGTCATGCATTACTGCTTTCTATGTAGTCAGGTCTGGATGAGACTGGGAGAAGAATTTACCTGCCTTGTCTGTAAATGTAAAGAGCACAACAAATGCTAGACAGTGCTTAGGAAAATATTTACACAAAGTTTAGATTAATGTGCCGTATCATACTATTGGTAGGAGCCACAGAAGAGGGCCAGGTTGTCCTGGTTGATGTCCTGGGCGATGTGGAGACGGTAGGTCTGGATCAGCTCCTGGTTCTCTGTCAGCTCGTCCTGGTGAACAAGAAAAGAGTTCATCTGATCCAAATCCAAAACCTTTATTCCACTTACTGTGCCTGTGGTTCACAACAGAAGCACTAAAAGCTCAAATGAACAATAGGCCGATGCCGTGCAAATGTGCATTTAGGTTACATGTATTAGCACTAGTCATCCAGACAAGCTGTGGGAACAGAGCATGCTTGGCTGTCAGTTATTAAACTGAGTTTGTAATCTAATTCATAATTCTGTGTATCCAGGACAATGGAAATAGAATAATTAGCAAATGACTGTTATAAGGGCAAGAGGAGGTAAAAGTATCAAGGGAAATCAGGGAAAGCCTCCTGAGGTTCAGTTACAGTTTGACAGCATTAATGAAAAAGGTCAGCAGCACTAAACTCACAGTGCTGAAGTGGTGAGCCATGACGATATCCACCAAATTACTGGTCCATCCAGAGAGCTGCACACAATTTTTTTGAGTGCAATAAGAAAAGCCTAGTATTTTGAATTTTATTTTGATGTTATTCTAAGATTTTCTATTAAAATAAAGTCAGTAATGACATTTTTTGCCTTCTCTTTTTGTCTGAAAAACTATCCAAAAGTATCGAAAGTATCGAAATACATTTTGGTACCGGTACCGGTACCAAAATGTTGGTATCGTGACAACACTAGTTACATGTATTAGCACTAGTCATCCAGACAAGCTGTGGGAACAGAGCATGCTTGGCTGTCAGTTATTAAACTGAGTTTGTAATCTAATTCATAATTCTGTGTATCCAGGACAATGGAAATAGAATAATTAGCAAATGACTGTTATAAGGGCAAGAGGAGGTAAAAGTATCAAGGGAAATCAGGGAAAGCCTCCTGAGGTTCAGTTACAGTTTGACAGCATTAATGAAAAAGGTCAGCAGCACTAAACTCACAGTGCTGAAGTGGTGAGCCATGACGATATCCACCAAATTACTGGTCCATCCAGAGAGCTGCACACAAGAAAAGAAGAGGCCGACTTTTATTCATTACATAGGAGCCATAAGGTTATGCCAGTGTAGCTTTACCTGTCTCATCAATGAATGTATATATTTACAAATTTAATGATAGATTGTGATATTTATAAAAGAAGAAATACACAGAGAAGCCATGTTCAAGATTTAGAAATTATGAAGGAATATGTGGCCTGGTGAACTAGTGGTTAATACAAATCCCTACTGTCATTATCTGATAAAAGCACATAAATAAAACTCAAGCAATCACTTTCTTCTTAAATGTTGGTAGTCTGAGCCAAATAATATCAGCATAACAGATTAAGTGTGGTAATTTTACAAAGGCTCCTGAGACATGACTGTGTGCAACACTCACACAAAATGTTCTCACTAAACTATCTTAGTGCACAGTATTATCATATAGTACAGTGTCGCGGGCCATCGTGTCCTCTATTTGAATCCATCTAATCTGCTCAAACTGAGATTAAGACATCTGAAGAAACATCACAGGGATCTGTGCTGTTCTGACAAGTTTGTTCTTCATGTTTGATTAACCAGCTGGTGACACAAGATTAGAGAGCCTGCCTGCTTTAAACACTCCAACAATTCAATAACCAGAAACTAAATCTTATGCTTATTTGTATAAGTCTCTTTAAAACAAATAGATTATCAAGTGTATCGAGATTAAAACTATAGTTTCATGTCAAAACTAGTAATCTGTATGTCTTGCTTCAAACAGAATTGACTGGAATAAAATGCTGATGCTTATCATATAAACAATTATTTAAAACAGCTGGAGCTTAAAAGATTATGCTAAAGGGGTCGATCTCCAAAATGCCCCCATTAATAACAACCTAATAAAAAATTGTGAAAGTGAAAAAGTAAATTTAGGAAGGAAAGTTAATGATTTAAGTAAGAGCTCTATGTTGCAGAGTGTACTGAGGACTCTGAGGCTTATAGTGCAGTGGTCATACTGACCTTTGAAGCTGCCCAGTCAATCCAGCCTTCAGCACATGGGTCGATATTGATCAGAACCAGCCCTTCCACCAGGGCGGGGTTGTTCAGCTGGGAAGTGAAAAACGTGTCATCCTTAAATACGAGAGCCGTAGGAGACTTAGCAGTATGATTTTGTGACAAATGAGATTACGAGTGTTTGCTGTGGCATGCTGCAGTTTTCAGATGATGAGATGGTTTTCACCCTCTTGTAAATCTACAGTGTGGTTTAGTCTGAACCTTCATTTGTCCAGCAAACTAAAGGAATCGGGCCTGTGCACAGCTGCATCTTCACAATGAAAAGTTTGTAATTTGTTTAATTTCAGTATTCCCTCAAAAGTGACCCCAGTGCCAAGGGGATGCCTTGAATGCTGCTTTCAAATGCACTGTAGCAACAGCCGCCATAAATCATATATACTGACTTGTTCCAAGTCGGTTAAAGCAAATGCATTTCAGAATCAAATGTTCCTCCTAATCCCCCCCCTAACCAACTATGCTCTCTTCTCATTATTTATCTATCACTGGTCCCTCGCTTCTCTCTGTCACTTCTAGCTCTTTCTGCTCTATTGTACACAGATTGTGCTTATTTTAGCTGCACTGGGTTGAGTGTGGAAATAAGACGAAAGCAACTGAGAAGGACAAAATCACCAAGGCGATCCATCATCTGGCGAGTGGCAGCGCATGCAGCAGACTGGAGAGCAACCTGATGCCCTGTGTGGGCTTGATGAAAGGCTTTAATGTTCACCAGAACAAGCCATGTGGTCTGAAAACCTTCAAGTATTAGAGATGAGACAGAGAGAAGGACAAAAATAGACTGAGATGGGGAGTAAGACAGGATGGGAGACAACCTGGTACCAGTGTGGACTCACCGCGAAGCGGGTGAGGATGTATGCTCCTGCTCCCACGCCGATGCCGATCAAACTGTGTACCCTGCAGAGAAACAACAAGTTAAAATGGACCTGGAGATGAATTGCCATCTTATGCACATTATCAGTAATTAGCCATCACCGAGGTGGGGGTGCACTTACTTGAGCTGTGTCATCACAGAGGGCAGCATTTCAGCCAACTCATCCATGGTCGGGTAGCGATAGCTGAAGACAGAGGAAATACACGAGGCCATCCAAGCACAGCACAGGATCAATTTTTAGGTTTGAAATAATCAGAAAAATTGAGTTTATCATAAATATAAACACTCAGACACTTTAGGATTTTGACTAATAGGCTGAACTTTGAATGTGATTTCCTCAGCAAATGAACTGCTTGTTCACTTTACATTCCCACGAAATGAATTGATCGTGGTTCCTCTAGCAGCACTGCAAAAAATGTGCTCCCATTTATCAGCACATGCAAATCCAGCCTGACACCCACCCGGTGGGGAACGGGGGTGCACCCTCCTGCTGGCCGGGCGCATCCACGTGAACCACTGCAAAGTGCTGCGTGATCTCCTGCATGTCCTCATAGTTGAACAGGGTGTTGAAGCACGACTTGTCTAGAAAAGGTACAAACAGAGGGCACACTCATGGCGTGAGAGTTCAGGAGCGCAAATGAAAATGACTATTCGGTGCAGAGGCTAAAGCAAAATGAGTATTGGCAAGTCTACTTCTGACTCACGGTTGAGGCCAATGTCATGATAGGTGAGGATGACAGGTCTGTTGCCTTTGGGAACACCTCTCATTGTCACATGGAGAACGCCATGGGGAGTCTCAATGTCATGCTCCTGCAGTCACAGAGACAGAACACCAAACAGTGGAATTCTAGCATACTGAACTGATCGACCAGTGCCTGGTGTTTTGGAAGAGAAAAGGTGCACAAGACCTAACACGTGTGTTGTCTTTCCAAGGCATGACCAATTCTGTCACATTTAAAGAACACTTCTGGGAGTAATTTACAATAATTAACAAAAACAACAACAATTCTGTCTTTGAAGCTAACTTACAGTATAGCTTTAATCCATATATCTCATAAAATTATACTATGTGAACTTTTTCTCATTCAGTAAAAAGTTATCTCAGCCATTCACAAAGGAGGAAGTTACGTCATTCACAACACAGGCAATAACTTGCAAATATTTCTACTAAATTGAGCAATTTATGCCAAAATGACAGATAAAATAGATATACTGTACATAACAAAAATAAAAGGTAACCACCACAAAATTAGTATAACATTTTGGGGTGCTATCTCAGATTGAGGATGCAAAGCATGCCCCTCCTTTCTTCACCACACATCTCCTGTGCCCACGGACAAACAAAGCAGAGAATGGGCTGTTTCGTAAACTGACTTTTGATTCGGGAAAATGGTGTCTTTATCTGAGGGTCTAAAACTCACAGTTCTTTCACAAGAATGACTCTGCAGAAAAGCCAGAGTCATTAGATTTGCCGAATGTCTTTAAAGAAGGACCCATTAAAGTTCAAACGGCTCACATGAGCTTCACTCTGTCATCACTTCAGTTTGAATTTCTACCAAGCTAAAGAAAGGCCCACACCCATTGTGCTTCTACAAAAACCACATTAAATTGCATAAAGGTCATTTCAACTGACTTCCAATTGCCTTGAGACAAATGGGGAAAATTACTTAAAAATGACAGCTAAAGCACGCTGTCATTACTGTTTCTGGGATTCAGAAGGAATGTAGGAAGTGACATAATGGGAAATGCATACACTGAACAAGACATGACAAAGCCAGTTTCCAGACGTCCCACAGAAACATAGAATCATTTTGTTTTGGTGCTGTATACACCGGTACAGATGATGTAGCTATGTGCATGTGTGTTTGTGTGTACAGCACAGCAGGCAGGGCCCGGAGCTCGCCTGGTCTCAATGCCCATTGGTCATCAATAATATAGAGAGCTAGCCTGGAGGATGAGAGACAGGTTATGGCTGACAGAGACAGAGGGAGCGTGACTCCGACCATACACTTCCATTTCCCTTGCTAGGTTCCCACTGCAGGGGTTTAGCTGATGGATATATGTCACAACTGCCTCATAGGAGATGAAGGTTAATTCTCAAGGACAAAGGCTGCTATAATTTGGTGCTGCAATCTCCTTTGAACAGCAACACGAGAGGGAACAGCTCCTTCTGTCAGCAAATGAGATATCTTCTTTTGAGTGGGTGTTGGTACAGAGATTAGCCTGTCACACAAAACATGAAAACTGTGCACAAAGAAAAACCACAAAGCTATCCTCACTGCCTGCTTGCAATAGTGTGCTACAATCTACAACATAATCTCTCTTCCCGAGATGGAATACACCCTGAACAACTTCTCCTGCTGACAGGAAGCTTTGTGCTCATCTGAGGCCTTTTCTCAGATAATGAAATGACTCTGCAACCTCGGCCTGGTGGTGGGGCAGAACAACCTGGACTGCAAACTGGCTGTGGCTGCACAATTTTTATACTAAGACAGAGTCAAGGACACACAGTTTTATAAGAACAAAAAGGCAAGAATGAAGGCAAACAAGACCTGCTTTCTGTGCCAGGGAAAGAAGACGTATGTGTCACACCAGTCACAGGAAATGAAATCATGACAGGAACTTAAGAGGAAAACAGAGATTGAAAATGAGATAGCTAGAAGAAGAGATAGAGCCTGAAAGAGGATGGGAGCAAATAGAGCATGAAAACAAGCAGGGACAGAGTGACAGAGACAGAAGGAAAAATAGAAAGGACAGAGGGAGTCCTGTATGACTAACAAAGGGTGTGCCTTCAAACAGAAGGGGTGCATCGCTTTAATTTATCATGTCTCCCTTGACAAGGCCTGGCACAAACAGGGATGGAAAATCAGGAGAGAATGGCCATGGAGAGAGCCTTTCATCTATCCATTTAGCTCTTGGTTTAAAAGCTGTATTGATCTGGAAGCTCTGCCTCCTATCATTTCCTGTCCAACACACACATATAGCTATATAAACAGAGGCATCAGAAGAAATCAGACACAGGGTGGGGCTGTCAGCCTAGACTGCTAAAGTGAATGGAAAGAAGGAGAGCACTGCAAAGAAAACAACCTTTTCCCCCTTTCATGGTGGCTAATAGTTGAATTAAGAGTGTGTGTGGGTGTTTAAGGGTTTGTAGGTGAGACAGGAATACTAAGTAGAGGTTTCAGGAGGGTGCCTGGGGCCAAAAAGAAGGTAAAGACTGGGGTTTTGGTCCCAGAAGGAATGGGGGGTTTGGAGGGGGTGGAATGAGGTAAAAAGGGGAAAACAGTATGTCATACTGTTGTTGTTTCCACAATCCCTCCTTCCCTCTCCTCCCCGTTTTCCCCTGACCTGCTAGGAACAGCATCAGTCACCTATGAGACCAGCTTTACAGGGCAGAAACACCAGTGCCTGTAAATGACTTTAGTGCGCACACACACACACACACACACACACAGTGTTTTTATTCCTTGTGGGGACTTTCCATTGACTTACATTCATTTCCTGTAGACTTATCATAACCTTAACCATAACCATTACTTGCCTAACACCTAAACCATGTTTCCACCCTAAAATTCTGTCATTTCCTTGTGGGGACTAGCTACTGGTCCCCACAAGGATGGCTGAGTCCCCCCTGGGAGTGTGTTAACAGGTTTCAGTCCTCATGATGCAAGTAATACAAAGGCAGGCACACACACACACACACACACACACACACACAAAAATGTAAACAGGCACATATGTGCCTCCATATTGGCTATGTAGGGATCACCCCAGGTAAATACCTCCTTGCTCTCCTTTTTGACACAGACACAGCCCTCCCCACCCGCAGTACACACACAGCATGTGTGCGTCATCAAAACATTGGGCTGAAACTACAAACTCAGGGTCAGTGGAGGCAAATGAAGGAGCACACTATTGTGGTTCTGGTGTGTAGATCCCACCATGTGTTGGGGGGTGAGTGACCTCCCTGCCTGTTTTCAGTTATGACTGAATACAGAACACAATGCTGACAGTTTGCACCATATACAGTCATTCACTGGACAAAACATGCATCCCTACAGTTATGGATACAAAAATGAGCACGTCTCCGGTATATAGAAACATGCACCCTGAAATACATAAATACCAATGATCCTAATGATGGATATCCACACTCTGAGAGACACGTACACATCCTCTGCTGGTGCCATTTGCAGATTCAGAGATAGTTGAGCACTATACACATGCATCTTTCATATCATCACATTAAAATGCACCACTGTACCCTGAGCATGGTGAGGCTGTGCTGATCGCATACATGGGCACAGTGTGATCTGCAGATACACACAAAACAAATACTCAACACATACCAACAGTTGCCCAGAGAGAAAAAGCCCAAAGTGTCACTCTGGTTTGCAACCACACAACAGACCCCCCCTCCCCCCCGTGCTAATCTGAACCAGAAACCCCTGCTGCAAGGACCCAGCCAGGTGTGTCAAGGCAAGCAAGACGCATTTGTCACTCACCACTCCATTCCCAGAGCATGCAATCTGGTCCAGGTCCAAAATAGATGACATGTTTTTTCCACGCAGGAGAGAAGTGTGTTATGCTCTGTGCAAGTGTTTGCTGGGCAGCTTTGAGGATCTCCAGGAGGCGGAGGAGGAGGCAGGGAGTGTTGGTAGGAAGGGAAGGATGTAGGGTGAGGCGGGTAGAGCAGCAGCGACAAGCAAGAGTGGAAGGCAGAACGACACAGCAGACGGAGTGAAGAAGAGATGGGTAAATGATCTGAATGGAAGCTAAAGAGTGGGGGTTGGATAAGGTGCAGAGAGCAAGAGAAAGACAGAGACAAGAGGTGGGAAAGAGAGCAGGAAAGGAGACAGAGGGGGAGGAGAGTGAGACTGCAGTTTGTACTTGGTAGTCACAGCGCGTCCGTACATCCAGCCACCGTTACGTCTAATTGGATTGCAGAGGGTCAGGTGGGTAGAGGGAGAGGGTGGGGCTTAAAAGAGAACGAAGAGGAGGAGGGGAAGAGTGGGATGAGCGTATGGAAGAAGGGTGATGGGGTTCAAAGGATGCAGAGGCAGTCCAGGAAAATGAGCAGCCTGCTGACATTGCACCGGTATACTGATAAAGAGGAGAGGAGGCTGACTTTGACAGCTGGACCCTGGACTGGGGACTGCATCAGCAAAATGGCTGCTTATCAATGTGTTTTTAACAGTGAATGCCCCCAGATTCACTTTAGCTGCTTCCTGCAGAGTGCGAACAATCTAAAATCACCTCAACACCAAAATAAATATCTTAATAGTGAACGGCCATAATCAGACTTCCAAATCCCAGGAGTGAGTCACGCAGCAGGAGCATAAGATTCAGCAGTTCGATATACACCAACAGCTTTGCTGCAAATGTTGGCTCATGCTGCGACACTGCTTTATCATGTACACACTGGTCAGCCACAACATTAAAACCACCTGCATATGTAGGTCCCCCACGTGCTGTCAAAACAGCTCTGACCCATCGAGACATGGACGCCACAGACCTCAGAAGGCGTCCTCCGGTATATGACACCAAGACATCAGCAGCAGATCTTTTAAGTCCTGCAACTTGCCATGTGGGGCCTCCGTGGATCCCACACATGCTGATCAGATTCAGATCTGGGGAATTTGCAGGCCAAGGCATCTTGAACTCTTTGTCAAACCATTTCTGCAGTATGGAAGGGCGTATCCTGCTGACAGAGGCCACTGCCATCAGGGAATATTGTTGCCATGACGGGGTGTACTTGGCATACTGGGAATACACCGCAAGACCTGCCGCTCTGACCCAGTCGACAGGTCGCAATTTGGCACTCTGTTTCTCAGATCCTTACACTTGCCCATTTTTCTTGCTTCCGACACATCAACTTCAAGAACAGGCTGTTCACTTGCTGCCTAATATATCCCATCTTATTGACAGGTACCATTGTAATGAGATAATTAGCCTTATCCACTTCAGCCATTTTAGTGTTGTGGCTGATCACTGTACATTTTCTTATAATGCTTCAGTGTGCATTTCAGTATTGACATTTAGAACATAACACTAATTATGCTTCAAGCTTACCAGAAACAGCTACTATTTTTATTCGCTACATGAGAAGGTCCGTTTCTTCTAAACCTCCCACTTAGTCATTTGATCAACACAGTCTGATGATGTCTCCTTTTCCACCCTTCTGTCATCTCCAGAACTGCTATTAGTGGAGGGTCTCAGGTTTGTATGAGACAGACTGTTCTTTGCAGCCAATGGCACGCACGCTACAGGACGGAGTGGGTGGGATTACAAAAACAAGGGGCATTTCATTGGTTAGTTGGTACAGCAGCAGTTTGGTTGTAAACTGCTGTTTCTAACCCACAGAGGATGCCACTGACACACGTACGTACATTTACAGGAATAAACACTTGTAGTACAGAGTAAACAAATATAATATAAATATTAAAAGCATGCATTGGGTGGATTTTCTACAATATGTCACAATAAAGCAACATGCCAAACATTTCATTCCCACAGTGTAAGATTTGAAAAAAGGTGACTTGTCCATCTTCAGTCATTAAAGCCAGAGTGTGATGAGAATGGGACTAACTGTGCATACACCATAATGTTTACTCCTGTACGCCAGATTACGATGTACATGCAGCCAGTCACAGCAGTTTATGGAGACAATGTATGACCCAACACATGCACATCCTGTCCTCCCTGTGCCATATACAGAGCCATCAATCGTCTCGGCAGGACACAAGCACACAGTGATGCTGGTCTACATAGCTCAGTTCAGGGCATTGACACTAGCAGGTTTTAAGGTTTGATTTACACATCCTAGAACACTAAAATGTACCTGCTCAGAAAAACAGTTCTATTATGCCGTCTATCACATGACATGGTCCACCATACAACATGAACAAATTTATTTACTTGTAAGGTGACTGAGCTACATCTGTGCAATTCACTGTTTCTGTGATGCCTAAGCCCAACTTCATGATATCTAGAACAGATACCACACAATGAACAGGCTTATGGCGCCCTCTGCTGAGTTTATTGATAGTGACAATAAAAAATAAAGAAATAAATAAAAATGACCTTGGCAGTAATTTATCTGAACTAGAACGTATACACCGATCAGCCATAACATTACGACCACCTGTCTAATACTCTTTACATAGGAGTCAATGTGGCAGTTGGTCGGCACTCGTGTCTCTCTGCCGCTCACTGTGCATCTTCTATGAATCTATTTACTTCCACAGTTCTACTGTCAGGAAGAGCACAGGTGTGTCTACAATTCAGTGAAAAACTTATGTAAAAGGAGTGAAAACTGTGGTGGTGAGGACGAGTTAGAGAGAATTTTTAGACCAATTCAACAGCCTCACCACTCTAGGTGTGATATCACCACTACAGCCCTTGAGTCTTTCTCTTCATTAGAGACCAATGTACAGTATTTCTCATTTTCAACCATTTTAACAAAGATTCAAATACATTTTAATCTTTTGAAAAGTACAAATGGAAGTTAAAAGTTTAATCTACAGTAGATCAACCTCATCATCAGTGAGCCTTGGGCGTCCATGACCCTGCCTTCAGTTCACCATCTGTCCTTCCTTAGACAGTGTTGGTAGGTACTAACCACTACAGACCAAGAACACGCACCAAGACCTGCATGGTGGGAGATGCTCTGACCCAGTCATCTCACATCACAGTTTGGCCCTTGTCAGAGTCACACATCCTTACACTTGCCCATTTTTAATGCTTCCAACACATTGAGGACTGAATGTTCCCTCGCTGCCTAATATACCCCACACATTGACAAGTGCCACTGTAACAGTCAGTGTTATTCACTTCACCTGTCAGTGGTCATAATGTTATGGCTGATCGGTGTATATCTTCTTTTGTGTTGCAATGGCACAAGAACAAGAAGAGAAACTGTGCCAAAAGTGAACATAACCATGAAATGTCAGACCTGGTAAGTGATGATTAACAGATTACTGGAAAAAATGTTAGAATAATAATCTAATAATGGAAAACAGATGCACACAAAACAATGTGAGACTAAGTAAAATATCACAACCAACAACACTCCATGGATAGCAGCTCAGCCTTTTGTTTGCTGCAGCAAACTCCACCCAAGATGTTCTATTTTTATAATGTACAGCTGCTTCCACTTCCATGACGTATCTCTGTGTTCTCAAGTACAGTGTGCACTTCAAAACTCAGCACACCCCACAGGTGGAGAGGGCTGACTCACAACTTCCTCCCCCTCCCCACCTAAGTGGCGTAACAGGGCATCATAGAAGACATGAGACTGCAGCACCACACCCTTAGGTTCTCCCCCATGACTCCACCTCAGCACCACCACCAACACCACCCTTTTCACGCAGGTGCATAGAGCAGTGACATGACTGTTGCAGTACCAGTGGGCCGCCTGTTGTGGGAGCTTTAGCAGCAGGAAAGTGGGGAGGAGAGCAGCTGGATTAGTCCTCTAGTTGCTGAAATGTCACATCGGTTGCTCACAGTTATGGTGCAACGGTGAGATCCCCTCTCCCACAAACAGGCTGTGTTAACAGGATGTCTGCTGCTACTTCGTTGTGCTGTATGTGGCCTCCTCTTGTCCTCACAGTATATCACTACATCATGTGACAGTGGTACTTAGGTGCAATGAACTTAGAGACATGCTGTATTTCAACAAGAGACACCATGAATTTCAGATCACATTTGAGACAATATCAAATGAACACTGAATTCAGCCCAGCTTTGTCCTACATATACACACAAAGGTCCACAGGACATGCATATTAAAAATATTTAACATTACCAAGTGACAAAGGTGAAAAATCTAGATGACAGCTTCACATTGTTATGCAGCCTAGATTCAAATGCTAAATGCTAAACAGCTGCCCTTATGACTTGCAAAGGAAAAATCACCTACATTTTCATTATAAGAACCCAAATAAATACATTCTGAAAGACAACTCCTTCCTGCTTGTTGCTTTTTACATTTTTGTACATGCTCTAGATTGCTAGCCAATTTGAGTTGTTATAGCAGGAAAAGCTATAACAAAACTCAGATGTTACTAATAACATAGACTTTTCAAAATGTCTTCTTTGAAACAATCTACAATTGAATCATTTATATGGAAAATTTCAAAAACAAAAGTTCAAAGACTCATTGGTTTCAGGTTAATAATTCCCTATAACTCCTGAATGTGACTGAGTGAGGTCAAAATGGCTGGCATGGACGCAAGGTCACACACTAATAATGTCACATACAGTCTAGTCTGCCTCAGTGACAAAAATATTCTGCTACAAACCAACAATGCAGGAGCTGGACTGAATCACAAGAGGATGAGTGAAAAGAAATATCACACTGAGAATACAAGCAGATGAATGTGAGCAGCATGTTCACATTCATTATGAATGTGAATGTACTGTATTAGTGACAACGCAGACAGTAACATGCTTACTCTCCCCCCCCACCCATGCAGCAGCTATATTTAGCTCTGGTGGGCTGCTGCGAGCAGGCAAGACTGCAGAAAGTGAGAGAGGGATGAAAGGTTTAACCATTTGCAGCCATGATACACAGTGCTTGCCTGTGGGGAGTCATTCTTCCTCCTGCGAGAGATTCCTTGCAACAACAAGCAAATTCCACAACACAGGCAGAGAGCCTAAAATCCCATTCCCAAAGCAAAAAAGGAACAATAAAGGAGGAATCTGGAACACTTTTTCTTGAATGATTGTTATTCTCTGTGACTGTGGCTAAAATTCTTAGAAAAGGGCAAGCAAGGTCTCTGCGACAGCAAATCGTACTTTGGACGACACTACCTGAGATGACTCTTAAAAAAATATCAGACTCTCCAAAGATCACCTATATCATCACACAAAAAGAAACAAGAGAAACATCTAGACTTATCACAAATAATGTTTCAGCATTTT